AGTCTGGCATGTTTATAAACAATGCTCAATATAATGCATCTTATAAAAAAGCTCACAATATATATCTTCTACAAGCATATTATTATCATCCATGTCGAGATTGCTTATTACAACCATTTTACTCCCTTGTAATTGTTAGAATCATACATATACTATTGAGTATTATATAAAAACCACCAAACACAAGAGAGATCATGATGGATAGCTAAAATTAACAAAATAATAAAATAAATCCAGTTCAAATTAATAAATTGAGTTTAAAAACTTTATTCCTGTGCAACAGCTCCAAAGACTCGTTCTGACAAAAAAATCCGCAAGTATATGTGGTCGTTGACAAGTAATAGATTAAGTGAATTAAGAGTATCGTCCCACGAGAAATAAGCATTATATTGAAATTTATCAACTCGCTATCAAATTCGAATGTAAATAACAAAAGGGATGTTTTGGTTATAGCTAAATTATCTACAATTGTTTCTAACTAAATATGGGTTGTATGTGTTGGAATTCTAATTCACCTATTATTATTTTATTTTCAATTCTCTACATATATATTTTAACATAATTTGTGCATACATGACAATCAGTAATTCAATTTTATTTAACTTTATTTTCCAAGATAAGTTAATTATATCCTAAACACGACCAAATCATCTTCCTATTCCAAATTTATATGCATAACACTTATTCAATCACATGATTGTCGACAAGATTTCATATGACATACATGCTATTCCTAACATCTATCGCCTGTGTGTTGAAATTTTAGTTTTTTAAAACTATTGTGAGCATTCCACTACTACAACAAGTAATTAATTATTTAATTGGTGATCAAGTAATCAAATAATGCAGCAGGCATATGAGATCAATCACGAAAAAATTTACTAAATAACTCGGAACTTGAATTTAAAATAAATAACAATAAAGTTGAATTTCATTCAACACAAAGAAACCTAGCTAACTATGTTTCTAATGATAAAACAATAAGAAGAATGGAAGAACATCATCTGAAATTTATAAATACAAAAAAAAAAAAGGAAAAAAAGAAAGAAATTGTCACGGTCCAACTCTTGTTCTTAATTATCAACCTCAAAATTTGATTCTTCAAGTTTTTGATGTGTCTTGATTCAATTTCTTACAAGATTTATTCTACTCTCCAACTTATATTGAATTTACCCACTATTCTTAAATGATTTTATGATAGGGATGTAATTTGAAAGTTAAGAGAGAGATCTTTTAATGGATGCTTATGTTATGTATTCTATATGGCAAAATTAGGTCAAAAGTCATGTCCAAATTGGATCCCAAAAGAGTTGCAATAACATATGAAAATTGCCTTTTGTGCACGCATGATTATGTCCTTGCTTAGTCATCAATATTTTGGATATAACATTCTCTCCGAATATCCGATTAAGGTGATTTATAATGTGTTGGAATACTAACTCAAAGGGCTATAATTCTTACAGAAGAAGAATTTTTCTAATTCGAACTTTGACTATTCCAAAAATGAGTCTTAAACTCTGGCTTAAAATCTGGAATGTGCCTTATGCAATTAGAAATTGATTTGTGAAGATTCTTTGATTATATTTCATTCCTTTTTAACTTCTTACTATCTCCAATTATCGCTTTGTGATCTGAATTAACTACTAGATAATTTCAATTTGATCCCCGAACCTTGAATTTTATCCATTTTCACCAATATTTCGTTCTTTCTTTCAAATTCACTTCAAATCATATAATTGTCTGTAAAAAATGATAAATACAAGAGGTTAGGCAGCAATTTATCAAACGTAATACAAAATATCCTAGATCGACGACTCTTTCCTTTAGGTTTTGTACCTCCTTTGATTTAGATGGGGACATATTTTTATGAGGGCCTGAATTTTGTCGGGGTTCTCCAAAGGAGTATTTCAACGGATAAGGTTTCATCCTTTATTTTCCCAATATGTTGAAAGCCTCTTCTAGATGTTTTAAAAAGTCTCCAACCTGAAGGTTTTTTACATGTATGTCATCAACGTATACTTCCACCATTTTTCTATCCGATCTAGGAACATTCTTTTCACTGATCTTTGGCACTCAGTCCCAATATTTTTTAGTTCAAATGACATAATATTAAACAGTATAGTCCCTGATCTATTACAAATGTGGTATATTCCTTGTCAGGTCAATAACAGTTCGTGTCCCGCAGTGGCATCTACTAGCCGATCAATTCTGGGGAGAGGAGAGCTGTCCTGATATAAATCAGGTTACGCCACTAATTATCAATTATTTGAAGATTGTTGGAGGTCGATAGATACCAAAGTTCACGCTCATTTGGAGGCCAATTAGGGTTGATCAAGCTGGCAAAACTCCTGATCAAGCTATGGAATTCAAGATGTTGAAGTTATTGAGCCAAATGTCACTATTCATGCTGGGCGTGAATGGCAAAACCGGTTGGAGAAGTGTAGGTGTAAACGTTGAAGGACTTGAGCCAAGTCGAGACTTCAAAGAAGCTAATAACGCTGGTCACTTATATATTCAATCAACGGGGTTCAAAACCATGAATTTCACAAGTCAATGAGTAAGTTTGAAGAAGGAACCGAGGTCCAAATCAATTGGGAACAGCTTGTTAATTCCAGCCGAAAGTGCAGCCAAAAACCAAGAGCTATGCGACCGCATAGCTCTCCAAGCCTTGCGGTCGCACCAAACATGCGGGGAAAATTTGGAGACTCAACATGTGAGCCATGCGGCCGCAATACAGGTAACGGTGCCGTCGCACAGTGGAGTCCGAAGCAGATTTTATTCCAAATTTGCACAGTTATGCCAAAGGCGGAAAGTTTCAATTGGGCGCTAGTTACCAAATTGACATAATTCTATATGGCCGACAGTTTGGGTGATCCTTTAATATTTGTCCCCTTATTTGATTAGTATTCTAATATTTTTAATATCTTTAAGTTAATTAGGATGTTAATTAGTGGTATATTATTAGTTTCCTTTTAGACTAGGATTCTAGGTGTTATTATAATTTTATTTTATTTATTTATTTATTTTTTAATTAGGTTTTTTTAATTAGTTTCCTAGTCTTAGTATAAATAGGAATTTTATTCTACATTGTAACGAGACTTTGATGAATTAATGAATGAGAGTTTTTTCTTCCGAAGCCGTTGCTTCAAAACCTTGTCTTTGATGGACAATTCGAATTTATTGGGATGATTTTTTCATGGCGTTCAACAAAACCCAGGTGGGATTCTTAAACCGTGTATTCAAAATGTCGTTAATTTCATATATTAACAGTTGTTTGAGTCATTGTTTAGGGATTAAATCCAAAACCATCGATCCATTGACGTTCTTGGGAACTGTGGCAATCTCGTTGTCGGTTCTCGAGTGTTTGTTGCTCACGGGTTCGCATCATGTCCTTAGAACAAAGTTTAAAATTTTGGCACGTTCTTTATTTTCCATTGCTCTTTGGTACTATAACTGAATTACATACCCACGCTAGATATTAAGCTTTGTGAATAAAAGCATTCTCTAATAGTTTATCCACCTTTGCATCTTAGGCTTAATTTTTGCATAGAAGCGACTTTGGGATCTATCCTCATAATGTCAGCATGTTTCCAAGGGAATATACCTATGTTAGCAACTAGGATGTTTTTTAACAATCCTTTTATGGGTTCACTCAATTCCTTGCCAATTTTTAAAGCTTTACTCGCATCTGTTGAGCTAACGGAAAAGCTTTCATGTCTCATTTTTTTATTGATTTTATGGTTCATAAGCAGGTTTCTTTGATTATACTTTAAGAACATTTCACCTTTATTCATGGAATACCTCACATGCAATTGATGGAGGAAGATGATTATATTTGCATGCTTCATGGCGGGTTGTCCAAGGATTTCGTCATTCACTGATTTATCCATGACAATGTTGAAATTACTATACCCTTGGTACACCTGGAGCGTCTCTCCTATCTTTACTAACAAAGTGGTGTGTCCTCATGTCAGTGTATTAATTTGATTTAAGAGTAAGTATTTACCGTGCAAATCTAAAGAAATAAGATTACGGAGATTGAAATCATCTTAAAGTACAAAAGTAATCATCTTATTTATATCCCACGAGGTTTGTCGTCTTATTGTGAATCTCATCCTTCTATCAACCCAATAGTGTGGCTTCATCGAAGCCAATGACTTGACACAATTCAAGCTCCAAATCATCTTATTTTAAACTCGGGCTTGAATATTAATTTCGAAAACTGTTCCACTAAACGAGTGAAATCGCACGTTTAATTCAATAATTACATATCCAATACGTCTCAGCAATTGGATAAAAAAACTTGACTTTGATTGCTACCCCTTTGTGTTGCCAATTAATTGATAAAAAGTTGTATTAATTAAGTTTTTTATTTTGTCCCTTACAAACTTAAGAGTTATTCTTACTAATAGTAACCCAAATAGAAAAATATCTAGACACAAAAATCGTAATTAACTCAAGAGGTATAATATGGATAATCAAAGAAAGGTATTTAGATTTAATGAGAATGAAGTAAAGAATGACTTAAAAGTGCAGAATCAAAGAAAGGTCTTGAGATGTAATGAGAAGGAAGTAAAGAATTACTTAAAGGTTTACATATACTTGTATTTACTTTAAGTAGAATAAAGAAAAGCATTAATATGCCTCCCGGGATATAGCCTAGTGGTGCAAAGGACCGGAGTGAGGTTGTCACACGCCTTGCTGACAGTCGCAGTATGAGGGTTCGATTCCTAAGACATGGAATTGGACTCCTTGTACGCGCAGTGTACATGCAACTCTTGTTCCCTGATCTGTTGGGGCACATCCTGTGATTTACCTCCCTCACAAAGCTCTAGGGGCGGGACGGTGGGGGCCTTCAAGGTTGGGGTTCAACCTTTAAGATAAGTATTGATACCTTTCCCAATATATTATACTTACTTTATGCTTGTTGTCTAATGGTATGATACAAGTATTTGAAACCCATAGTCTATAAATAGAGTGAATGGACAAGAGGAACCACACATCTCTCCCAACTGACTATAATATCTCATCCTGCTTATTCAAATGGCTACATCCCAAACCGAGGTCAAACGCTCTGATTTCCCCAAGGATTTTATATTTGGTGGTGCAACATCGGCATATCAGGTTTGCAACTGATTTTTCGAGTTTATCTTCGGTGCTAACACTGGCATATCAAGTGAGTAATTGGTATGTTTTAGTATGTTGTATCAGGCAGATTTGGTCAGAAAAATGGGCAAACCGTACTATTCGTTAATAATGTGAAATATTATTAAATGTACCTTATAAAAGAATCCATTATAGTTTAGAATAATGAAGATTTGCTGAAACGATCATGTGGGAATGTATATGTTAGACGGTCCATCACATGCAATTTAACTTTCTTGAGTTCTTAATTTGTGGATGTATAATTTATTTCAGGTAGAAGGTGCTTGGAATGTAGATGGTAAAGGCCCGAGTAATTGGGATGATATGACAGAAAAGCATCCTGGTCTCTTCAATCTCTCTCTCTCTAGTCTTGTGTGTTTAAAATCACTAAATATAAAATATAAATTAACATAAAAGAGCTCAGCTACTCCTATATATATGGTTGTCCATTTGAGATAAAATCTCTATTCTAAGTATCTTATCACCGTCCAACAAGCTCAAATAAGTAACATGATCCATCTCAAACTCAAACAAGCGTTCGAGTTCAAGGATTGAAGTTTTTTAACAAGTCATTATCCTGTAGAGGCATGTTAAATGTATAATCTCTTATCAGTTAAATATATCAATCAACAGAAGAAGGCTTGTGTAACTCTTTTTACCAAAGTTTTCATTTTAAAATAGAACATATTAATTTACACACGCACATGTACGTGCAGCGGTGGAGACGGGGTCCTGGTAGTTTATTTTTGGGATTTTTTTTAAGTCATGTTTGGTATGAATTAAAATCTAAATTTTAATATGAATCACAGTTAATAATTAATTTTAATAGAATATTTCATGAAATCCATAACATTTTAACTTTATCAAAATCTACTAAAAATCATAATAGATTCGAACTTTTTTCTTGTATCTTTCTCTTTCGCTACTTTCTCCCTCACGCATTTTATCAAATTCTTAAATCTTCTAATTTTTAAAAATTTATCTATAATTTTTCTGTAGATTATCACATCTATTACAATTCTTCACTTCTCAATCAAATTTTCAATTAATTAGAACCTATAGATTATCTTTTCCTATCAAATTGTGTATACAAAATGTGTCTGAAGTGATTATGTCCAATTTTACTTATATTTAATGAATTGTGTTTATTTGATTGATTATTAATTAGTATTGAATATTTGTTAAATATTTTTTCTTTCGATTATTTGAATCGATCATTTTAATTGATTGTTTAAATCAAAATTTCAAATACACTATAAATTTTTTAAACATAAATATGTATTCTTTTGTGATGAGCAAAATATTAATAAAATGACTGTTTGAAATCAAATGAATGAAAATGATGACCAAAATCTTAATGAAGGGATTTTTTTTAAACGTAAATCTTCTTTTTTTCGAGTCAAGTATGAATCATTCAAAAATTAAGAATAAAGTATTCGATCTGTACAAAGTTTGATTGTGCCCTCCTAATTTAAAATGTCTGTGTGGCAGATAGCATTGCGGATGGTTCAAATGGACAAGTGGCAATCAATCACTATAACAAGTTCAAGGTAAATGCGCTCAGCTATTTAATTTTTCGTGGCAGATAGTGATGTTAATTCATTTATATTACCGTATCAAAATTCTATATCTATTCAAGCATTAAGCGAGGATCATCTGATCCCTTATATTTTATTAAGGTCTAAATTTATAAAAAGAGCCATGCTTCAGGGACAATCCCCTTGGACGTCCAGGGGATGAGGTGGGGGCCAAGTGATAAAGCCCTTATAAAAAAAAAAAAATAATAATAATTTGACCACTTTCTTCTAATTGATATCAACATAAAAACTCATCATTTCTAAGAAAACCTACCACCAGTCCACCAGTGTTCTTTTTTTACTCATCCATTTACAATATTTAAGTAAGTGAAAAATGAATTGAACTAATAGCTGTAAATGAATTAAATAACTCTTTTGATCCATTAATGAAAAAAAAAATGCTCATTGCCATTGTTCAAACATGACTATTATCTGGAACATAGCATTCAAAATAAGTTGATACTTTGTTGGCGCTTGAAGTCAAAAAGTTCTATTTTGAAAAAAAGTGGAAGAAACAAGAAAGAAAAAAATCAATTATAATTGATTGTATTCTAATTTAAGCCACCAAGAATAATATTTTTGAATGTATAATGTACTCACTGTCAATAATGCTGCAGGACGATGTGGCTTTGATGAAGGAAGTTGGTTTGGATTCTTATAGATTTTCAATTTCATGGTCCAGAATCTTACCAGGTACCGGATTGTGCTTAAATGATTTTAGAAAAACAGTTTTTTTTTTCACTTCAATAATGAAACGTCAAAGATGTAGCGTTTGTACATTATTTAATTTTTAAGCTAAAGTGATGTTTTCTGCTTAAAATTTTTTAAATGACTATAAAGGGCTAGACAAAGTGGAAAAGATTCTGGACAATATAGAGTTAATGGTCTACATTGATAAGTTTGACTAGGATTTCTAAATGGACTCGAAAGCCTCATAAACCTTGCCTAGTTTTCAAGTCGAACACAAAGAAAAGGAAGAGAAAAATGTAGAAAAACTCTTGACAAGAAAAAGTTCTCGTTAGAAGTATTTTGACAAAATATTTTGAAAAATAGAAGTATTTAGAAAACCAGAAGTAGTCTCTAATATGAGACCTCACCAAGTAATTTCCTCAATATTGGATATCAATAGAAGTTCCTTGACTTTATTTTACGGTGGTGCTAGTAATACATTGGGGTGTACCTAAGCGTGTACACCCCTCTCACATGCGGTGTGGAATCCACCCGAATAAAAAAAACACTTATTCGGGTGGATCCCAGACTCCATGTGAGGGGGGTGTACACCCTTAGATACACCTCATTATATACAACTAAATTAGTTCTTTATTTTAATATGAGTATAAATTTATATTGATATTTTAGGTGGTAGACGATGCGATGGCATAAGCGAAAAAGGAATCCAATTCTATAACAATCTTATAGACGAACTTTTGAAAGAAGGTTAGACTTCTTTGAATTCACGTGTTTATTGTATCTTTAAGAAAATTATTCTTATTTTATATTTAATTAGTACATGATTGGAAGTTCAAATTGATATGCCATTGAAATCATTTCTTTTCTTATAAATTAAAATATAAAATTTAAAGATATCATGTACATTGATTTCTCTACATTACTTTTGTGTAGGCATTGAGCCCTGTGCAACTCTCTTCCATTGGGATGTTCCACAAAAATTGGAAGATGAATATGGCGGCTTCTTAGATCATCAAATTGTGTAAGTAAACGATCTTGCATAGCATCGAACATCGTGTGCTAGATGTTTAACAGATGAATTAAGCAAAGTTATTTTCTCAAAATCTATATTTTGAAGGAAAAAGCAGAAATATTTTCTTCAAAGAAAATGGATAATAATAAGCAGATTGATCTCTTGTGCAAAGATAAAAGACATAAGTGAATTTTTTTAACCATCTATGGTTTTATTACAGACATATATGTTGAAATTTAACTTTCTTTACATTGTCATAATAGGAAACATTTTTGTGAGTTTGCTGACATATGCTTTTCGAAATTTGGTGATCGAGTGAAATATTGGGTCACGCTCAATGAGCCACGGTCCTTCACTTTTTATGGATATGTGCATCCAAGGTTTCCCCCTCGTCGAGGTTATCAACTTGGAGCATCGGCATCAGCATCGGATCGCACTCGAGAATCATTGGAACGAATGTGTCGTTCCTCGATCCTTCAGCATAGAAGCAGCATCAATGTTCCTCTGTTTCCTTCATCAAGAGGATATATGGCCAGAGATCCAATCAGTGAACTAGTTGATATCGCATACAATTCGGACAACATTCCTTCCTCTGAACGAGATGCAGCGAGAAAAGTAATTGCTGAGGCACTCAATGTGCCTTACACTGCATCCTCTGAAGATGGTACTTCCTTTGAAGGAGATCCGGGAACAGAACCATATATAGTGGCACACAATTTGATCCTTGCTCATGCGCATGCGGTTAATATATACCGGAAACAATATCAGGTTTTTATTTTAATATTTCACACATGTACAAAAATAAATAGGTAAATACACACTTTTGAAATTTTACAAATATTAATACATCTGTACATACAGGAAAGCCAACGAGGCAAAATAGGGATGACAAACGTTTCAATCTGGTATTATCCATTTAAGGAAGACAACAAAGAGGATGTCGAGGCTGCTTCGAGAGCACTTGATTTTTTGTTAGGATGGTAATTGTTACTTGTGTTAGAGCAGTTTATCTTTACCACGAGCAATTACTCTGCATCTCTATAAATTCCTAAATCTCCCAATGAAATTAGTGCCTGGGAAATTCGTTAAATTGGAATCCATTATCGGAAGTTTCTTCTCTTCTATTCTTTTTATCCTTTAGCCTGTTTATGCCTTATTAAGAGAATACATTATAGATATATTTTTGTAGAAGTTTAGGTATATAGTACATCGATAATAATTCTAATTTTAACACATTTCTCCTGTTCAGGTTTGTAGCCCCTGTAATAACAGGTGATTATCCACTATCCATGAGAATCAATGTAGGAGAACGTCTTCCCATGTTTAAACCAGACGAGGTTGCACTAGTGAAAGGTTCCTGTGACTTCTTGGGCATAAATTATTACACGGCTCGTTATGCCCAAAATGTACCTCGAGATTCTTCAAAAACACATTTTGAGAATGATCTGCATGTTGATGAGAGGAGTAAGTACTGGGACCTTTTCTCATGTTCAGTTATAACTTTTTACCTTGACAAAAAATGGACACTACTTCTAACAAGATGTTTACTTTTCATTCTTTTAGCTCATGATTGCAATGACAAGCCGATTGGTGATAAGGTGAGTCATTAATAGTACCCTCCCTTAGAAAAAGAATATAGACAATGGAATGGATTATTCTAACAATTTAGGCATATCAACAATTTTTGGTGAAATATGATTATGTCATAGACTCCTAATATACGGGCACAATGAACTAAAATAGATATAATGGTTTACATTATTTTCGATGCTTATGTATAATCTAATGTAATTACAAATCTTTTTTACTTCGTGTCAGGGTGGTTCGTCATGGTTGTACATAGTTCCAGAGGGAATTTACGAGATAATGCTCTATATAAAGAAAACTTATGATAATCCCGAGATTTTCATTACAGAGAATGGTATATAGTCATGTTTATTTATTTATATAGCAAGAATATACATTAGAAATACTAAATTTTTAGAGCATTTAGTGATTTGTTGAATTCTTTTATAATCTCTTGTAGGGCTGGATGAATTGAAAAACGATGAACTAACAATTCCAGAGGCTGTTAAAGATGAAAAAAGGGTTACGTATCACAAGGACCATCTTGACCAACTTAGAAAGGCAATAGAGTACGTCATTTTTTTTTATTTTATCTTTAATCACATATTGTAGTTAAATTCGAAGTAAAATTGTAAATTTTGAAACTAATCAACTAGTCTTTCGTTTTCAGGGATGGTGTACGCTTGAAAGGTTACTTCAAATGGTCATTTTTTGATAATTTTGAATGGACACAAGGGTACAATCTTAGATTTGGAGTTCATTATGTAGACTTCAAGAACGAGAATGATTTGGAAAGACACCCTAAAGATTCAGCTAAGTGGTGGAAGGATTTCCTGAAAAACTAAAAGGACTCCATGGCTACAGGATGTCAAAACTCAAGAAAAACAAACAGTTCTGCAAAAAGGCCAAAAAGAAACAATGTTTAAATTAACAATTACTGCTTACTTTAATTAATTTAAAAATGTTGTGTTGAATAATACAAGCATGGATGCATGCTTGATCTACCTTTAGTTTCGTCCTTTATTCTCTTGTCGGCAAAGAAATAAATTAATGTTGTAACTTTTAGTCAATATATTCAAATAAATGGACCCCTTCGAGGTCCCAAGTGTAATATCGTGTTTCTGCAATAATGGGCATTGAACTTTTACATTTGGTTAGCGTCATTGTGAACTGTTATAAATGTAGTAGCAAAGATTTTGTTGTATGGATCCCATCTAAACTCCCGGCAAATAGATGCACACATCGGCATTTTAAGGGTAAAATTTTTATTAGGTTTTTATCTAGTCTGACACAACCTAGAAGGTGTTTGAATGTATTGATTGTATAATATAACTCGTAAGAGAATTTTGAATTGTGAATTCGGAAACATGATATATTGAATAAATGTGACTCAACACCTTCCCATTACAGATTTCTGCTTTATTAGCCGGACAGCTCCTTCCACGCACTCAATTCACCAGACATGAAATATAACTTCTTGCTGTGAGGTTGCTAAACGATTAATCATCACTGGGAAAACCTGTAAGTGAAAATATGCGTTCGTTACAATATCAATGTAAATATGAATGAAACATGAATATTTTTTGCCACATTAAAATTAGTCAGTATGTGTTCGTCTCTATGCAAAATTAGTAAACTACATCTACCTGCATCAATCTTATTTCGAAAGTGCGAATGTGACATGTGTTATATATTAAAAAAATGGAATTCGATGGTCTGAATCTGTAATACTACGGAGTCTCGTGTATTGCAAACGTGAATCTGTAAAAATCAAGATATCATTCTGACTATATACGATAGTAAAGTAGGAAATAGAACCAGATCTATGGTGAACGATAGACCTATAAATATTGCAAATTCGACGTAATGTGAACATTAGAGTGCACTATTAGTATACTCCATTGAGTCAAGGTATATAACCTTACTATATCCTACCGTATTATGGGAGCTTATAGCAATAGATTTGTGTATTGATGTTTTCAGAATGCCATACATTACAAGTTTTTTACACGCTAATTTCACACATCTAAAGTATATTTAAGAAAAAAAAAATGATTCCATTACAACGGTAATGTCACACGTGTAAATGTTTTTTTTTTTAAAGAAAAAACATTGATTCGATGTCGTCAAGACGATGGTCGCAAGAATGCTTAATCTTGAAAAATGCACATGCCAGTACACTAGAGGAAACTAATTACGCTAAAAAAATAGACCAATGGAGATTTCATTGAGGTTAAAAACATAAATGTCAGCTGCATGTGCAATACGATATAATTGGACACAATCGACACTTCAATTGGTACCATTTCACGTGTACGATCCGACCCATGAAGTATGCAATACATCAGATTACATAATGAATATTTACATTACCAAAAGATAACGAAAAAACCCGGGAAATCAGAAATGCATTCCTAGTCGTTGTATATAATTTAAAACAGCAACAAGAGAGTCTTCAAAAAAAAAAAAAAAAAAAGATCCTTCAAAGTTGAGCTAGCAACCAACTACCATCCCTAATGATGCAGCGGAAAGAACAGAAGCAGAATCTGTGCACACAATAAATTCACAAGTCTTCCACAAACCTAGAAATCGGGACTAGGAATTGCAGGAACAAATAAAACTCTTGCAGAGAGTTTTTATTGATAACATAATAACTCCAGAAAACTGTCTGCGGCTACAGAAGACTACAAATATATAAACCCTAAACAGACAACTTACCTAAAATAAGTGATAAGACAGAATAATTTAATAACAGAAACTTAGACAACATAATAAGGAAACTTAATTTGACAGACATAATAAAGAAATAACAAAAAAATTAATATTCCTGTTTCTCAAGCCTCCTCTCATACTTCTCAATAAAATTATAGGCCACTCGATCTACATCATCCTTCTCGGGTTGGAGAGAATTCGTCCTCGAATTCGAGTCCTCTATTGACAAATCACCAACATATGGAACCAGGTGCTTGACGTTAAAAACATTACTGGTCGCAACATGGCTTGGAAGCTTCAACCTGTATGCATTAGGATTGATATTTTCAATTACTTCCAACGGTCCAATTTTCCGAGCAGCAAGTTTGTTATAATCACTACTAGAAAATCTACCGTTCATCAGGATATCTCATGATATTGAATCTGCTATATTCACTTCTTTACAGGTTGATCACACTATATATAGAATGAGAAGAGTGCCAGCCTAACGGAAAACCTATACAGCAGGCAGCAAAAAGAATCTATATAAACAACTCTGTTACAAAAGGAAAACCACATAACAGAAAAGATGCTAAATCCTTCTAGATTTATTCTTCTACCTATGGTCCAGCTTGTTGCCCATGTGTACTGGAGTGTGAGTGCTTTGCTGACTCCCAAGCTGACTCACCTGCAGCTGATTTCCATTTTCTAATAGCCCCTCGCAAGGTGGAGAGTAGATATCTTCTACTCCCATCTTGAGCAAAAGAGTATAGAAAACAGAAGAACTTGAGGCCTTAGTTAGGAGGTTTGCAACTTGTAATCCACTACCAATATAACCAGTGGTTATGCTTCCATCTTGAATCTTGTCATGGATGAGATGACAATCAAGCTCAATGTGCTTGGTTCTCTCATGGTTCTCTCATGAAAGACAGGGTTTGATGCGATGTGAAGTGCAGCCTTGTTATCACAAAACACAGTGGCAGCCTGAGAATGTGTAATCTGCAAGTCATGAAGTAAATATCTCATTCAAGTTAATTCACAGCACAGGTTACCCATTGCTCGGTATTCTGTCTCCGTAGATGATCTAGACACGACCCCTTGTTTCTTTGACTTCCAGGCCACCAAAGAAGACCCAATAAACACACAATAATCACTGACCCGATCTTCTTGTGTCCTGGCATGCTCCTCAATCTGAATCACAGTAACCTATAAGCTGCAGGCTTGATTCAATAGAATAAAACAAACCTTATCCTGGAGCCTTTTTGATATACCTTAAAACCTTGTAGGCTTCATTAAGGTGTGGTAATCCAAGGTTATCCATGAATTGACTTAATATTGCACTGAAAAGGATAGATCCGATCTTGTTATAGTTAAATATAGTAATCTTCCAACTAGCCTTCTATAGAGTGATGGGTTAGATATTAGTTTGCCTTGCTCTTTAGAAAGCTTAAGATTCTGATCAATGGAATTCGAGTTGGTGCTGCCCCCAATTTTGCCTGAATCTGTCAAGATGTCTAAGGCATACTTTCTTTGGCATATATGGATGCCATGATCTGACCAAGCCACTTCATCCCAAGGAAGTATTTCAACTATATTGATCCTTGATTTTGAATTTCTCATGTAGGGTATGCTTGAGAACATTAATAGAGTCAATGCAGTTGCTGAACACTATAATGTCATCGACATATACGAGGATGACAATAAAAGAATGTTTTGTAGCTCTTGTAAATAAGCTATAATCAGCCTTAGATTGTGAAAAACCTTGCTCAATAATGAAGTTAGATAGCTTAGAATACCACTGTCTAGAGACTTGTTTAAGGCCACACAAGCTTTTCTTCAATTTGCAAGCTTTCATCCCATTAACAGTGGGATAACCCAGAGGCAATTGCATGTAAATTTCTTCCGCCAAATCTCCATGTAGAAATGCATTGTTTACATCAAATTGGTATAAGTGCCAACCTTTAATAGCAGCTAAAGCCAACAAAGTCCTTACAGTAACTAGTTTTGCCACAGGAGAAAATGTTTCATGATAGTCGAGTCCTTGTTGTTGTGTATATCCCTTAACCACTAACTTGCCTTAATATCTCTCTATGGTCCCATTAGCATTGAATTTGATTTTATAAACCCACTTACACCCTATGGCCTCCTTACTAGGAGATAGATCAACAACTATCCAAGTATCATTTAATTCGAGAGCATTTATTTCAGCTTTCATAGCATTACACCACTTGAGAGATTCTAGTGCTTCTTGGAAATTTTTTGGTTCAGTTTGTGTGCTGATAGAAACAACAAAAGCCTTGTAGGGAGTGGAGAGTTTATGATATGACACACTATTCTCAAGAGGATAGGGATTACCTGAGGGAACGGTGACCCTTTGCTTGTCCAAAGCCTGTGAATGGGGAAGCAAAGTGACCTGTTGGCAGACAAAATCCTTGAGATATGTAGGGGTTCTCTTGATTCTATTTGACCTTCAAGGTACGACTTGTTTTTGGGATGGCTCACTGTCAATTATAAATGTATTTGCAGGTCCAGATAAGCCATGATTTTGTTCTAATGAAAGAGATTCAAAGTCTGTTGAGTGGTCTGTTGCTGCATTTTGTCTGAAGTGTTGATAAGAGAATGATTTGGGCTGTTTTCTATGTGATCTGAGATAATAGGAATTTCATAAATGAAATCTATTTTTGAAGTTGGATTTGGACTAAAATAAGCACTGTTGATAGCATTTTGCTTGCAAGGAAACACTCTCGTGGAAAGATAACATTCCTAGAGATAAAGACCACCTTTGTGTTGAAATCCATTAATTTGTATCCTTTGATTCCAAATGGGTATCCCAAAAAAATGCATCTCCTAGCTCTAGGATCAAACTTATGTCTTCCACTCACTAGGGTACTAGCAAATGTTAGGCATCCGAAAACTCTAAGATAAGTGTAATCTGGTCTGGTTTGAAAAAGAATTTCAAAGGGTGTTTTGTGGTCTAAAAGAGGTATAGGGGTTCTGTTTATAAGATAAACTGCCGTGAGAGCACAATCACTCCAATATCTTAATGGGATGCCACTTTGAAATTTTAAAGCTCTTGCCACATTTAAAATGTGTTGATGTCTTCTTTCAACTATGGCATATTGTTGAGGAGTCTCTGCACAAGTTTTATGGTGAATGATTCCCTTTCGTGAATAAAATTTCTTCATCTCAAATTCATCTCCATTGTCTGATCTAATAGTTTTAACTTTACATTCAAATTGTGTTTCAATCATAGAGCAAAAACTTTGCAAAACAATGCCAGCATGAGATTTGAATTTCAACATATAAACCCAAGTACATCTACTGAAATCATCCACAATAGCTAGAAAATAACGAAAATCATCATAACTAATCTCATTACATGGTCCCCAAATATCACAATGTATGAGATCAAAACATTTTTCTGATCTATGCTGGCTGACAGGAAATGGTAATTTTTGTAGTTTGGCTAAAGGACAAGTAAGGCAAGGCTGTTTGGTGGATCTTGTGGTGTCTTCTGGTAAATTAAGCTTGGAATAGGTGGAGTGTCCTAACCTACAGTGCCAAAGATCGAAATCTTCACCATTATTGAAAATACAGGAAGCGGATATGTGTGTCTTTTGAGTTAGATAGGCTAATTTCTTGGTCAAGGCAAAAGGAGACACTTCATATTGCATCAAGTGATAGAGTCCTTGCTTTACTTCACCCATTCCAGTCCTTTTCCAAGTCAAAAGGTCCTGTATAAAACAACAACCAGGAAGACAAGGAGGCAACAATTCATGTTCTGCGTTATTTTTCTAGCTGATATCAAATTAAAAGAAAACGACGGAACATAATGAACATTATCCAAAATGAAAGATTCTGAAAATTTTACTGTCCCAATGTGAGTGACAGGAACAACTTTACCATTTGGGAGAGCTACTGAATATGAAACTTTAGACTTTATTATGGTAAAAAGAGAGGTTGAGCAGATCATATGATCTGTACCCCGTGTCTAATATCCAAGGTGCAACTGAATGATCATAAAGTTTAGTGCTAAAGGCAAACAGACATAGAGATATACCTAAAACTTTTGGCATCTCACCATTATCAGAATGAGTTGGAATAAAGTTTGAACATGATTTGCAGAAGGGATGAAGTTTTGATGAGTTTGTGGGTTCCGCAATGCCATGAGCTGATCATATTGCTCCCGAGTTAAAGAATTTGAGCTTTGTTATTTACCTGTTCCTGGAAAAGAGGCATAAGTGCAGTAGTCTGATTAGCAAATGATGTTGATGGCTTGTTTCTCCCTTCTGATTTGTGCCCCGATGGATACCCGTGTAACTCAAAACATTTTCCAACTGTATGACCAGGCATTAGGCAATAAGAGCATGCTGGTTTGTTGGGATTAGCCTTGAAGCATAGTTCAAGGGAATGGCCAGCTATCTTACAATAGGTGCAGTAGTACCTATCCTTCTTCTGAGAGGATTGGTTTAGTTTTCTCACATCAAGGTTACCCTTAGCAAGTAGTGCCATAGTTTCATCAAGTGAACTATCAGTGGATATTTGCCTTCTCTTCTCTTCTTACTAAATTATGGAGTATACTTCATTCAAGCTTGGGAAAGGCTTAATGAGGAGAATTTGAGCCTTTAATCCCTTGTACGTATCATTGAGACCCATTAGGAATTTCATAACCCAACCTCTTTGTTGGTTGTTCACCTCAACCTTCAAACCTCCACAGGAATAATTGGGTACTGATTCATAATTTAGCGATTCATCCAAAAGAGTTTTCAGCTTTGAGAAATACACACTTACACTGAATTGATTTTGTATCAGGTTTACAATACTTTGTTTGAGCTCAAAAATCCTAGGTGCATTTTACTGTGCCAACCTCTGTTCAAGTTCCTTCCATAGATAATGTGCCATTTCAGCATACATGGTGCCATAGTATTCTGCAACCAAGTGATTACTATATCATTACATCTCAACCAATGCTCCATAAGTGGACTGTCTGCATCATTAGGCTCTGAAATGCTTCCATCAACAAAACCGAGCTTATTTTTAATCGTGAGTGCTCTTTGGATCGCACGTTCCCAGGAATGATAATTGTTTGAATCCAATACATGAGTAATGAGTATGGATCCAGAGCTATCATTAGCTCCAATAGAGTATGGACTGTTTGGCTGTGAGGGATCAACCGAGATTGGATTTGGGTGTTGATTTATATTTGTGTTTGAAGATTCAACTGGATTTGGATTAGCAGAATCAGGTTGTGCCATATCTTGCTCTGATACCATATAAGAAAAGAAGAAATAAACGAAAGAAAAAAACTATCGAGCAGGTGGAGTGCAAGAGTTTTGGGAGAATTTTCTCATGATATTGAATCTGCTATATTCACTTCTTTACAGATCACACTATATATAGAATGAGAAGAGTACCAGCCTAACGGAAAACCTATACAGCAGGCAAAAAAAAGAATCAATATAAACAACACTGTTACGAAAGGAAAACCACATAATAGAAAATATGATACATCTTTCTAGATTTATTCTTCCATCTATGGTCCAGCTTGTCGCCCATGTGTACTGGAGTGTACGTGCTTTGCTGACTCCCAAGCTGACTCACCTGCAGCTGATTTCCATTTTCTAATAGACAATGTGCAATCTGAACATCACAATCAAGTGTAAAATGAGTTTCCACTACACATTGTAAAAAAAAAAAAAAAAAAAAAAAAAAAAAAAAAAAAAAAATATATATATATATATATTGCATATGTTGTCATCATAAGAAAAGAAGAATTAATATTCACAATCAATCACAAAGATGTAAGTAAATTTTAGCATATCAAACTCTTCAAACGCGACATATCACACACAGCAGTGTAAGGTTTCGGTGTGTCATCCAATGGTTTTGGTACAGACAATAAGCAAGGTCAAAGAGGCATGGAGGAGAACTTCACGTAAATCGCATACATATGTAATTCATTGTCTCTAAAATGTCAACCTCAGGATAACAAACAAAATTTAGCATATTAACATTCACAGTTTTCAAAAATCCCCAAAAAATACGTGAGACGTAGAATTTCCTTCTTTCGGGTTCGAATGCAACGCCATTTTCATCTTCTTCATAGAGGATTCTTCGTCAACATAGTCACCTCTTCTCGTTTCGGTGTGTCATCCAATGGTTTTGGTACAGACAATAAGCAAGGTCAAAGAGGCATGGAGGAGAACTTCACGTAAATCGCATACATATGTAATTCATTGTCTCTAAAATGTGAACCTCAGGATAACAAACAAAATTTAGCATATTAACATTCACAGTTTTCAAAAATCCCCAAAAAATACGTGAGACGTAGAATTTCCTTCTTTCGGGTTCGAATGCAACGCCATTTTCATCTTCTTCATAGAGGATTCTTCGTCAACATAGTCGCCTCTTCTCACTTTTATCAACATTGGCTGAGGTTTTAAACACTTCTTTGACGGCTGGGTGGTCTCGTTCCTTATATTCTGACAGAACGGCTATAGATCGTGTAATTCGACACGAAGGAGAACGTGCATCTTCCATTTTCGTCGTCACTATCTCCACAAATACCGAAGCTTCCCCTCCATTAATACCCTCTTTGGAAGCCAGCGACAACTTCCGTCAAGGGATAGCCAACTTACAACATTCAACTTCCGACCGTAGGATATAGACGGAGCCCATGGGTATGTGAGGTAATGAGATCGATCTGTGTAGTAAACTAACCCCTTTTCTTGATTAATTGATTTGGGGATCTTGGATTTGCATGGACGGCGGTGTTTAGTTTTCTGCAAGATGGAGAGAGAGGAATATGAAATGGATTTTTTGGGAAAGTGCAAGATATAATACACCTGCTTATTTGTTCTCCCATTCAATTTTCCAAAATACTATATAAAAAGTAGTATAATTAGAATAAGAATACAGTGGCAATGTAGAATAGACAATAATATAAATTAACTGTGTTTCATGAAATTTTCCCTTCATAAATCAAACGCACAAAGCCACGTATCACTCGGCAGTTCAAACCCAAAATCAAGCAATTCCATCCAATTCCAATTTCCAACCCTATTTTTAGCTGCTAGTACTCAAGCTAAGCCACCGTAGAATTAGCGACATCGAGCCACCGGCAACTGCAGCACTACACCACCATTGTATCACTGGTAACTAATTCCACTCGTGATGGCGGGACATGAGTCGTGAGCCTCCTGCCTCTCTTCATTTTTTATTTTTATTTTTTGTTTTTGTTCGTCTAGTTCGTTTATTGATTTATTATTTATCAAATTATGATTTATCAGTTAAAATAATCAGTTATGATTTATGAATTTATGTTTTATGAGTATTTACTGTTAGTCTGTGACTTTGTGAGTTATGAGCCTCCAATAGTATTTACGAAAATTGGAGGTTTCATGAGTTTGAGGATATGCGATATCATATATGTGGACTATGAAATTCGTGAAGATTAGGGATTTTGGAAATAACTGTTAGTATTTGTGGACTTATGGAATCTATTAGTATTTGTGAAATTTGAAAATGGAAACTTGATGATTGTTAATATGTGATTTACGTTTTACTGTATTTATATATTAATTAAAAAATTTTAATATTATTTAATAAAATTTTAAAAAAGGATCTTGCAAATGCGTCAGTCGACGGTTACAACTGCCCTAGTTGGCTCCAACTCTTGGATCCGCCACTGACCAAGACAACATACTGAAGAGAAAGGTAAAGTTTACTTTGTAGCGGAAATCTAGTCCCCGTTTGATGCCCATTTTTGCATAAAATGTATTATAGAATAGAGATTTTTTGTAGAACGTGTGGCTAAAAAGTAAGAAAAATATTTAAAATACGCATATAGTTATTTTATGAGAGAATGTGTGGTTGAAAATGAGATTTGAAATAATGAATTCTTGAAAAAATGGGGCTCAAATAGGGCACTCATAATTCGTATTCGTGAAATCTAATGTTGTAGTTCCTCTTCTCCACTTTTTTGGTTTTCCTCCAACTTGTTGGTTGGCATGCATGTAATGTTTATTGAAGACAGAGATTGGTTATATTATTTCCGTTTTCTTTTATAATTTCAACCCTGATTAATACCTGCCACGCTACAACTGCAAGATGTCTTAGCTAAATTGCAATTACAAAAAAATGAATATTGTGCTAAGTACTAAACCTCTTACAAGAGCTATAAAAGTTCGCTTGCTAAAAGTCAGAAATGGAATATAAAATACTAGAGAATCGATATTGGTTATTATCTGTTCTTTTGTTCAACAAAATACCAAAAATCCTGATCCATATCCTTAGCTTCCTTAATAAATTGCATGAAATTGGGTTGTTTAAATTAAATCTCAAGTTTATTAATCAAAAAATTTGATGTGGTCCTTGAAACTCTGGAAGTGTAACGCCTTGACCCCTTGTAGACCGGAACGCTACTTACTTTACTTAACTAACCGGTGATTTAGTCATAGGAGAATATGTTTTAGCAGAAGTGTAATTTTTACAATGATAATTTTAACAACAACCTTTCGAATACTTTAAATAAAACACTGAATAAAAAAATAATGGAACATAATTTATTTGAAGAAAACACAACTTGTTCTCGCGTGCAGCGTTATTCAAATACTTTAAAGAAATAACATTGAAAATGTTCACAAAAATAAATCTAAATAACTTGTTCACCGATTTTTCCATGGACTCGTTGCACCACTCTCCATCTTTTCCATTATTCAGGCCCAAGGTAGAATTATATCAATTTGTAGAGAAGGGGTTAAATCCTTGAGTTAGAAAAACTCAATAGATATCATTGGTACATTCGTGATCAAGCTATACATTTCAAAGCTGTAACTTTAGAAACCTTTTCATAGTAGGATTTTCGGTAGAATCCCAAACACGTAGAGTCATGACTTAACACAACGCCTTGACCAGAAGTACATGCCGTACCCGAAGCTACCATTAGACATGGAGGTGTATGCCATACCGAATGTACCATTCGACATACAAACATTAACATAAATCTTCATTTGCTAGAAACTTATAACTTAACACGAATTAACACTTTGCACCTCTACCTACCTTGATTGATGCTTTGAACCTTGTTGAAAAATGCACTCCTTTGATGTTTCAAAAAAAACACTCCGTTGAGAATTGATACTGGGAAAACACTTCTTGATAGCACCAAAACTTTTAGGAAAAACTAATTTTCCTCCGTCTCCATTCTCTTTTTTCTAGACTTGAAAACTCTCTCTTTTATGCTTAGAAACTTTTGTCTTGATGTGAAAAATGTGTATGCATTGAAGCCTATTTATAGGTGAAAATCTCACAACTTAAGGGCAAGTGAAGGGCCTAATACTCATTAATACGAGTGTCATTTATGTGGGAGTTATAGGTTTAAGAAGGTGCTAGATAATCGTGTAGGAATTTGACTTTTCATATTTCGCGTACTTTGGTTGATACTGTACAGCTTTTAGTATTTCTATCATAACTTCTTCTCCCAATATCCGATTGAGGTAATTCAAAGTGCGTTGGAAAGCTAACTCAAAGAGCTACAATTTTTCTTTAGAAATCATTTTCCAAATTGAATGTTTTCTATGTTGTAAATGGGTCTCAAATGAGGCTAAAAATCTGAAGTATAGTTTAGAAAATTCATGTCTTAGTGCCACATCAAACACATCTCACTTCAAGGAAGTCAACAAAAACTCATGTCGGTAAAGTGCAAGCTAAGTGAAAAAGGATCAAATACCATTTAGTAATAAACCATGTGAAGAACGAAACTACATTATTTTTCAGTTGTGCATAGAAACAATTAGGTAATACCACATGGTTTAACTCATTAAATAGATACAATAAATTATGACATATAATCAGAACAACAAAAATGTTTTTTTCTTTTCGCTTACTAATAAAAAAAAAGCCAAAATCAAGAAAATCAATCGAATTTGAAGATTAATCAAGAACGGCAAAACCAAACAAGCATTCTTGACTAAACACCTACAGTTATCAATTAATTCCAAAAGATGAACAAATAAGCTCAATCTTGGAAGCTTACCAAAAGATGTCTTGAATAAATATAATAACATGAAAATTAATTCAAAGATGTAACTTTTCACTTCTAAAAATAATTATCTTTGATTTTTTTTTTTTTCAAAATGTTTTCTTAGTTATATATTAACAAGATACCATAACATCTACTTTTCTTCTTAATCGTTGTCACACGTAGAAAACATATGTTTGAAATTTCTAATATTTTGAGTTTAGATAAGATACGAAGGCCCAAAAGTTTCGA